AAAATGACTTCTGATTTCATATAGATACAAAATACATTCTCTATCTAGCAGAAGTTGAATGACCTTCTGTGTTACTCTTCATTAATTTATACTGGACAATTTAGGGATCCTCTGAACAAGAAGTATACTATTGATTGAACTTCACATTTGTTGAAAGCACTGTCAAAGAAGATACTAAAGGGTACATAACAAAAAGTATTTCTGTTATTTGGGAAAAATAGCAACATGCAAAACATTGGTGTACCAGTAAAACACAGAACAGCAGTAACAAAACACTTATTACTAAAAGCACTGGAGCACAGCATCTGGGTGGAAAGGGTGGAGAGTTCAGAGAAAGAAAGGTGGCTCTCTAGTGATTTTTCATTGCTAAACATCTGCCCCAACTGACTAAGATGGGACAATTATGTCCAGATGTTGAAACATGTGAATCTTATATTTTTTACCTTTTGTTTTATAATTTACTGATAATATTAACTTTATTTTGAAGCTTAGAATCTTATCCTTGTTGATTTAATTTGTCCATGTGTACTCAGTCCCCAGAGTTCAGCATTGATCCCTTCAAGGCACCCCTTGCAGCAGCCTGCTGGATGAGGCCTGATGGGGATTGTTCAGGAATCTTTATTTCATATCAGGATGTTACTTAGGTCTTTCGTGTGTGCTTCTCCTTGAGATGAGGTTATAAATATGATTAGACCCATGGAGACACTTTTATTTGGATTTCATCTGCACTTACTGGGCAAAAAGCAAGCCTATAATGGAGCTAAGGTAGGTAATCAACATGTATCTATACAGCACCTCCTATATGACCAGTAAAGTGCCAGGTCTTGTAAAAGATATAAAATTAAAAGCAAGATACAATCCCTGCCATCAGGTGGTGAGATGTAAAAAGAGCATAGCTTTTGAAAGTTGGTAGCGCTTATGTTTGAATTCCAGTGAACTATAATTACAAGTTACATAAACTGTCTGAGCCTGGGTTTCCTTATCTATGACATAGAGATAACTTCTTGGGCCATTACAAGAATTAAATGGGAAATATCTGTGAAATTATTGAGCAGACATTTAATTATTAATTATTATATTATTAATTATTAATATTAATTATTAAATCATTGATTATATTATTAAATTATTGCTTAAAATATTAATTATTAAATTATTAAAAATTATTGACTACTGGCATTTAATAATTTATTTTCCTTCCAGAAAAAAAAATAGCAGATAATAAATTACTTACCAATGTGAAAGGCATAATCCATAGGATTTATAATGGAGGAGATTGGTGTCAAATGGTGTACTCAGGAAGACTTCAATGGAACTTCTGAAGTGAACTTTGAAAAAGAGGCAGATGGGGGTGCTTGAAGAGAAAACAAGAGGTGGAGCACAGAGAAGACCTTGAGCCCTGTGTGTGCAGGTGGCAAGGCGTGGGCTGGTGGTTCTAGACGACACTGTGCAATATGGATTTAGAAGCAAGGCAGACTACGAGTGGGGAGTCAAAACTAGTTTACAGTAATTTTCGCTAGTAAATAAAAGTCTTACTTTTTTTTTTT